CGGAGCATGGTGTCTCCCGCAAGGGACGACACCGAGAAGGAAAACACCTGCCCCAGCACTAGAGGAAGCTCTCAGCTCACCTCGGGCCATGCCTTCGGCTCCAGCAAGGATCCATCCTTGCGGAGCAGAGCTTCTGCCACGCTCCCTTCGCGTCTTGGCCGTCATACCAACGGCGCGTAGGTGTCCTTCATCGACACCGTGTAGTGTGACGGTTAACAGCCGTAGCGTAGGTGTCTCCCATCGACACCATGTACCGTACGGTACTAGCCTTTGCTGCGGTACGCCCACGACAAGGTTGCCATGTTTGGTGGCAACAGCTTCTGCTGTGCTGTCGCCTGAACGGAACAATGGCCAGTGCTCGCATCTTGCACGACGGATGTGCAAGCACAGTGTACAGGTCCATGAACCCGTACACGAGGTACGCTGTTTACAGCACGTACCCCAGCTACCGTAAGTGCTCCGTGCACTTGATGTGTGTCATGCACGACGAGTTCATTACGTGGAACTCCCACAGCAGCCATTGCCGATGCACGGAACGTGCGTTGACTCACAGCGTATACGCCCAGAGCGCATCGAGTTGTGGTATGGTGCATATCCTTTGAACCTATACCAGTGACTGTCGCAGACACCATGTACCTTGATGGTACTCAACCATGGTGGGGCATATCTCACCACCATGCCACTGCGGCGTTGATGTCTGGCACTGATACCGAGTACTCACGGATACCAAATCATGGTGAGGCAAGCAGCCATCACCACGGTGTCATGCTCGGCGCAGCGCCAGTTACGACTGCGTGCGTTTTTGCCTCGACCTCCACCTGGACAGTTGTGTGTGCACTCGTGCACCATACTTGGGTTAGGGCTCCACGGCCCTTTATAGCCGGTGCGTTGCGTACATCACGTACCGCAACCGCGTTGTCGGCGGGTGAGACGTTCCGTTCACCCTACTCGACAGGTCGTTCATGACCCAGGGACCAGTGCGCTGATTGCACTAGGTCCGCGCTTCGCCCCGTGTGTGGCTGCTTGCAACCCCAACAGTGCTGATTCGCTCAGCGATTCCGAGGCACCTTGCGCCCGTGGCTTTCTTCGCCACTACGTCTTGTTCGGCTAAGGCTACCGCAGCTCTAGCCCGGCTGTTCGCCTCCAGCCTGCAGTCGATGTACATCGACGCCTGGTTCCGTAAGGAACTTGGTCTTACCTCAAGACCAGGGAAAGGAGGTATTTCCGAGCCTCTCCCCCACTTACACTTGAGACCATTGAGTCTCTCGTGGCTTCTGATAGCCACTGGCAGGCGCGACGACTCTTCGCCCCGTGCACTGCGTCGGTACGGGCCGTGCCGACCGAAGGCATCCAGCCTTCGCGTCAGCCGGGTGAGTCTGCGCGACTTGACGTCGAGCGAGTTGCTCACGTCTGGCGAGGCCAAGACAACCTCGCGCCTCGAGCCAATGGCTCTGTGTGCGGAACTATGTTACCCGCCTTGGTTTTGGAACTATGTTACCCACCTTGGTTGCGGAGCTGTGTTACCCGCCTTGATGTGTGGAACTCTGTTACCCACACCGGAAGCGCATACAGCGACTTCCTTATCAGTTATGGTCTGAGTGACCTTGCGTGGAACTCTGTTTTCCACGCTCGGAACACCGAATGTCGGTCTCCTTAAGCAGCTTCGCTGCTTGCGGAACTTGTTACCCGCAATGTGGACCTATGTTACCCACCTGGTGAATGCACTCCGGCACCATCACTGTCGAAGCCTATACGGCGCGACGACCTTCGGTGCTGTGATCGACTGGCGTGGCAGACCCGCACACACACCGGACAGACTGTTGGTGTCCACCGACCGAGTCAGAGGGGTCCGAACCCTGGGCTCCGAGTCGCTTGAAGCGACGTCGGCCTGAACAAGGTTCAGACTCGACTTGCGGCGGTTAACGTGACGTGGCATTTTGTTACCCACGTCGTGATGTGTCGTTGACGACATCAGAGGCACTCGAGACCTCGTGTGGTACGGTGTTACCCACACAGAAAGCATGATCACGCCTTCCTCATCAGTTATAGTCTGGGCGACTGCGTGTGGTACTGTGTTATCCACACAGGAAGCTCATTCAGCGCCCTCCTCTTCAGTTAAGGGCTGGGCGACCGTGTGGTTCTAAGTTACCCTCATGGTTAGCTCTTTAAGGCATAACCACTGTCGAAGCCCGTACGGCGCGACAACCTTCGGCATTGGACGCTGCTGGTGTAGCAGGTCCACACGCCGGGCAAACGACCCATGCCCGTGGCATCGCCACAACGGAGCATGGTCTTGCTGTACGCAGAGCTGTCGGCGCGTTGACAGCTCCGTGACGCTTCTGCATCCTGGCGGTCTGTATCAGACGCCTAAGTCATGACGGAGGTGGGAACATGACTCACCAATGCTCCGCCATAGACCTGGACTGATAGGCCCTTTTCAGCCTTGCCCCACCAAGTCCGGGCTGTGCCTTATGTTCGGCACAGCCATGTTGGTTATGGCGAGAACTACGAGCAACACCGCGGTGCGCGAGTTCATCGAACCCAAATGCTCAGGTCCGTTAAGGACCATTGGTACTTTCTTCAGCGTACCAAAGGCTAGTCCACCAAGGGCCAGCCCACGACGGCCACCCTGACATAGAGAGCAGTCGGGTGTCGCTGTGCCAAGCGACGTTCCAGCGGCGTATCACCACCCCAGAACTTATTAAATGTTCAAGGGGTACCGTACCCCCGTACACCGAGTGTACTACCAGCAGCTCATCACTGCCATTTACCGGGTTGAGAGAACCACGTCTCTCTGGGCTAAGCTCCGTGGTGCGCACAGCCTGAACACCCATCACAAAGGCTTAGCGCTCTTCAGTAGGGCATACCGCCTCTACTGGTGGCCGTGGAGTCTTCGTCCACTGGATCGTGGCCTGGGCCACCGGACGCCACGGGCCGTCTTCTTACCGAGGACTGGGGAGGGACACACATGCTGGTAGTGTCCATGTCCGCCGCATCCATAGCAGCGGACCAAGCTCTCGGCTGAGCTTAATGCCATGGGCTCGGGATCGCTGTACGCACCGGCATCAACGGGATGTGCGACAGCAGGAGCAACAGCTGCATTGCTGCAATGGTCTGCCTACTGAGAAACGCCGTCCTCATCAAGGCGAGGTTCCTCTTCCCGAGGAGTGCCAGCCTGCCTGTGGCTATACCCTTCTTGGAGGGCGATTCGAATCGCCTCCTCCATAGTTGTCGCTTGCACCCGGAATAGCTGGTTGCGAGCAGGACCGACCTTCAGACCGTCCATGAAGACTGTTGTCTTGACGTCTTCAGGCAGAGGATTCCCTGCCAAAGATGCCACCAACGTGCGCATCTCTTGCACGTACTCCTGCAGTTCACGTTTTACCTTGCTTACACGCCAGAAAGCGGTGAGGGCTGGCGGAACTTCGCTGGTCGCCGGAAGGAACGCGGCTCGAAGCTGCTCACACAGCTGAGCCAGGATGCAAAGCATCCAGGAGATGTCGTCTCCCTGGTGTATGCCCAGTGCTTGGCACGCCCCCAAGGTTGGACAGGGCAAACGCCACCCGAACTGGCTCGTCCGAGATGAGACCCGCCTTCATGGCGATCTCTACCTCACGGACCCAGAAGTGAAGGTTCTCTCCTTCCTTCCCCTCAAACGCTGGGACCTTTAGCCATACCGGCTTAGGCCTGGTTGCCTGGGGAGCGGCCATCGAGGCCTCCAAACCCCCGCGGACGTGAGCGATGAGACCACGCACGTAGGTCTCAAACGCAGGCACGCGTTCTTGCTGCTCGGCAGGTGTCGTCGCCGCCAAGCTGCGAAGGACATCTTGTCCAAAGATGCCTCCCATCTTCCGAGCAGACTCGTACTGTGAGTCGTTCAAGCGAGGAAACTCGCTTCGGTCCATCGTGGCTCAAACGCTGAGCGCACAGAGGATTCAGGTAGTTCAATCTACCCGCGATGGTGTTGGATTGACTACGAGTGCTACCAAGTGTGACGGGGTCACACAGCACCTTGCACAGAAGAAGTGCTTAAGGGTAGGTACTACCCGAGTGAACGTTATTCCACGTGCTCCCGGCCTCAAAGGGAACGGTTTGCTACTTAGAAGAGTAGATTTTAAGACTGATGTATTTATAAGTACGATTAGCTTGGGCTCCATACAAACTAGAGGTTACCTATAGTGGAGCTAAGTGGTCATGCTCTGACTGGCTCCGAGAGCACCTGGTACCGTGTACCAGGTGTCCAAAAGAGTGACGGGTCACCCTTTTTGTAGCATGTGGCACACTGGATTGTACCCCGTTACAACCAAGCTTCGTTGGAAAATTTTGCAAGCGATTTTGTAGGTGAAACATCGCTCATAGTTGAGGTTAAAGCTGCAGGAAGATACTGGAATGTAAGCAACAATACCCGGCATTTACCTGGGTAAACTTGTACTTTCATGCTGTCTTTGATCATTTCAGCAGTAATGTCGGATACCGATAAAAAATGCCTTTCTTCACTTTGGCGTTTGCCCAAGTAGCGGACTATGACTTTTTCAGGTATTCTGGTATAAATGGTAATTTATATCGATAATTCAAAAACACTGGACTTAATCATTCGAAATACCTGGAACTGAGTAAACCTACACCTATTTCTATGTCTGGGTAGCCTGGATTCTAACACCAGCCTACTTAAAGTTAAGCTAAACTTTAACATACAAATCCATACATTTTTACCTATTCGCTACGAACAACTATCAGCAGATAATATCTATAAATTATTTATATTATTAAAAGCCTGTTCCTATGCTTATTTATCGTTCATTAATATTATTAATAGCCTGTTCCTGTAAAATCAACCAGCATCGTGCTTATTCTTCATTGCACTAAAGTAAATCTCTTGCCAATTTACTTTTAGTTGCTAAACCCAAACCAACGAAAAACACTGGGTGGGTGGGGGTGGGTGGAGCTCATGAAAAACCCTTTGCCCAAAAAACTTTATTCGGTTTTCGAATCCGATCCCCATGGCTGGGCTTCAGGAACTGCTACCTTCCTGGCTGGTAGATCACCACGTTGGGGAAGCTCCGACGCCTCCCGAGCGCATCCGGTTGAATGATTGGGACGATGGATTCACCCCCTCGGGTTGCAATGGACGTCCGGGTAAACTTGTGCGCGACTTCCCTCGAGACCATCCGGGGGCTTTTGCTGTCGTTGATGGGGCGGTGAGTGAGCGCACGGCCGATCTGTTGTATGCCAGTGCAGTTAAGGCAACAGTGTGGGGCGTGTACGTTCCTGTCAGTGAGCTGCAGCTAGAGACTTCGGAGCTAGAGCGAGACGAGTCGGAGGACCCTGCGGCCTACCGCCACGCGCTGGCTCGTCGAACAGTGCAGGAGTTTCTGATGGGGAAAGATGCAGGGCAATGTATCACAAAGAGCGACTGGGGGCGTACGCATGGAGTAGCAGTCTGGGTCATTGCGTCGGACTGCAACGATGAGACGGAATATCACTTGGACTATGCCGAGCAAGTCCGATACGAGACCAATGTGATATTCCCGCCCATTTACGGCGCCACGCTGCACGTTAGTCCGCTGCATAACGAAGTGACCGATGAGGCACCTGGATGTCAAGGACGCGCGACGAACTCATTCGAAGGAGGAGGGTTCCACGCAAACTTGACGGGGCTTTCGCACTACGATAAGTACGGCTACAAGACGCGCAAGCGGCCGCATCGACTGACTACCGACGAATTAGAAACACTTAGTAAAAGCGAGCCGGGATGGAAGCACGTAGCATACAGATATCGTCGCGGAATCCTGTGCGACGGTGAGTTCCCTCACTTTAGTGGACGAGTGCGCACACTTCCGTCATCCCCGGATCTTCCAGTCAAGCGCGTGATAGTTGGGTTTAATCTGTTTCCGAGTGAGATCGGCACGTGCGTGGCCAAATTTCCAGAACACAGTGGCGCCTTTAACCGCTACGTAAAGCTCTCGCAGGCAGCTGTGAAGCAGACGAAGCTGCTGTCAACTACGAGCAACAAAGGTGGCTGGACGCTGGAGAGTGTGCGGGCGAACCCGAAACAGGCGGCGTTTCTAAAGCTACTAGCGCGCAAAGTGCGCGAGAACCAGGAGAAAACAGCAGCGTCGTCCACAGCCAAAGACTAAGTCTGTGTAAAGACCGCCTGGTTATTTCTAACCGACTTTACTTGATCGGAAGCCTAAGTTACCGACTGCAGAGTGCTAGTTGTGGCGGAAGAATTTGAGACTGACCCAATTGGCGTAGCAGGCCAGGATGGTCACGGGGATCGTGAGAGGCACCAAGTAGCAATAGTATACGTCTCTCTCCACAGCCAGTAGCACACTCGAACTATGTGTGTCTTGATCTGAACTGGGAGCTGTGGTGTCCAACTCTTGAGGTGTGGTAGAAGCACTATCGGGGAGCAGCAGGAACAACTTGGAGAAGACCATAACATACCTGTCAGGAACAGCATTAGTTTCTGTCCTTCAGAAAACAATGGCAAAAGAATCTAACTGCAAACTTACATCGATACAATGAAGGCCATTGCCGCCATCAGCACGATCACATAGCCCCAGACGTGGCTCGTGGAGCCGGCGCGTCGTGCTGCCGCCATCTCCTGTGTTAATGATGTGTGTATGTGGTGTGCCTTACCTAATTAGTACCTGGCGTTGATTATTTAGATATATTCCAAGGTTCTACGTTCTAATGTGTGCGCGCGAATCTCCTGCATCAGATCGAAGAGCTCTGTCAAGTGGACGGTAGCAGTCAGTCAGTAGATTCCGCGTTCAGTGGGCGTGCGCTAACAACAGCCTCGCAGTTTTATGGTAATGGAAGTGCTGGCTGTACTGAATTGATCTATGTCTGTGTAAGCGCTGGCTCCACGACTTACCTGACCCACCCACCACAAGCATAGTTGCCGGCTGTGTCGTCGGCTACGGCGTTAACTGCTGATGCAACGGAAGGATGGATCGAGCTGGGGCAAGGAAAGAAAATGAACTTGGCTACAAATTTGGCGGTCACTATCTCCGGTAACAGTAGTCAGTTAAAAACGGAGTTTTTTAAAGTTAGTATCGTCAAAGCTATTCACGAAAACATTGCAATACAGTATGGCACAGTGATGCTTCGTGGCAAACTGCGTTAACGGTGTCGAATGTTAGCGTACAGGATCGGCTTACAGGTATGGCGTAAAAAATATGTTTTGGCGCGACTGCGAACAGAGGTTTGGAACAGCCTAAAAAACAGGACATGTACTGATTGATATATCGTTCACCATGATATCTAGTCCACAGAACTACGAAACGTCGGCCCGGCCCGCCGAATCGGCGGCCGATGCATTCCGTTAGGTTTTCAGCAGTGCTGTCAGCACAGCAAATAGTGATTATGACGTTTGGCTCAAACGCATCTTGCGCCGCTGCATTCCGTTGGGTTTCTTTAGACTGACACAGCACAGAATGATTCATGACGTATCTTGCGCCGGTGTGACGCACATCTCGCTTCAGACGGCGCTACCGACTTCAAACGTCCGATACAGTTCCAAGTGCTAAGATAGCACTTCAAATTGGAATTCAATGTATCTGCAGCCGGCAGCTCACCACAGGCTGCTTGCGAAGACTCAGGAGTCTGAATCGTAGGTGCTACCCCGGGTAGCCTACCCGAAGAACGCGTTGGCTTTGTCGTCGGCACCAAGTCCGGCCCAAAATTACTGCATTTGATTTTTTGCGCTGAATGGACACTCTTAAACTCAGGTCGCACGAGGACGGCACCCCGACCAAAGAAGTGCGTTCTACGACGTGCTTCGTGGTAATATACCATTACCCCCGTTTCATTGCAGTTGTCGCCGCCCAAGCAGCTCCGCTTCTATGTGATGCGATAGTATTGTATCACTGATACAGTACAAGCACGAATTTCCCGGCTGGCTGACGAAGATGTTTCGGCGTGTTGCACCCGGCTGTGAACCGGTTGTTAACGCTTGTCGAGCGACAACTGTAAATGTACGAAGTAGCCGAAAATCCGACCCGTCTATTTCTGGCTAAATCAGTACATTTTGCCCAGTGAGCGCTAGACCCACCGAAGCGAAGCGTAGGTCGGGGGCGCGGCGCGTAGCGCGGAGTACATGTACAAAAAAGGAGGTTATATCTATACCGGAGCCACCGAAGCGAAGCGAAGGTCGGTGACTAGGGAGCGCTCTAGCGTAGCGATGTATTAATAAATGTACCGGTATAGTGCTCAGTACATGTGCACGGCTCCGTCGGAAGGACAATTCGAACGTGACGCAAGGTGGATACAATTGCAGATGTGACACCGTTCTCCTTGCACCGACTCGGTTTCTGGACAGAAGTAGCGGCGCGTCTGCGCTCCCGCGGCAACAGTCCTCTTCGCTTGGACTTCTCTGGAGAACCCAAGCTTGTGTTACATGTACTAGAATTTACATGTACAGTCGCTTCGTAATCCAACGTGACTTTGTAATCCTGCAGCACGTTGAGGGGTTTCACGAATACAGCAACTCTACAAGCAAAAATATACTTCTATATATATTTGAAGGTGGATTCACGACAGCAGAATCGGGACGTTCCGACGTACTGGTGTACGAATATATTCAAGTAGCATCACCTTCCAACGGATCACCATGAACGAGATCGTGACTTCTCATTTCAAAGTGCCACAATCGAACAGGATATTGGCCACTTCCGGTCACTTCAGCCGAAGTGGCTTGTTTCGTTTGTCAGAACGGCTGCTTGAGTGTCGTGATACAAGGAGCAACAGTAAGACAAGGCAAGGAAAATCATCTACAAGGTGGCATCCTCAACGTACCAGTTTCATGCTCACCCGCAGTTGAAAACTGTTGCCGTTCGTTTCTCTGCTCATTTGTTTTTTGTATTCATGTACCGTGCCCTGTTGACTTTTTCTATTTCCTAGACGACCGCCGAACCCAAGCTCACTTTGCGATTGTCGGTCTGCCAACGAAAAACAAGTCCGACCGATAAATGGCAATCGACAGAAGTCGCAAGCGAACGCGCCTCGCCATGGTGGTGGTGCGCTCACCCACAGGTCAAAATATCGGCGAGACTTTGCGCGAAAACCAGCGCCGCGTCCAGATGGAAAGCCAGACGGGTGAGACTCGCCAGGTCGTGGTCATGGCGTCGCCTGAGGAAGTCCGCTCTGCCCAGGCAGCGAGACGCACTGCCACGCCTCCTCAAACGAGGGCTTCGTTCGCGACGGAGACCCAGCGGCGGCTGATCGCATATGCGCATCGAGCGCGACACGTCCTGTCACACCGCTCCGTGGTGGACCATTTGAGCCGCACTCGTCGAATCGAGATGTTGAGCGAGATTCAACGTCTCGCAGAGGAGATACAGTCGTTGCAAGAGCAGATCGAGGTGACGACGCGCAGTGTGGAGGGCATGGAGCGACTCCCCTTCCACCTGGAGCGCCTGACGCACGACTTCCTGCCTCGGAGTCCGAGCGACGCAGTGCGCGTTGTGCGTGATCAATCAGATGTGCAAGAGACGGAAGCGTCTACTGCTTTGTCGGACGACGAGTCAAAGCATTGATAACAGACTCGCGAGTGTGTATTTTATTGGTCGTGCTTACATTATTTCATTGAAATCTTCGATTGTGATCGCAAAAAAAACACGAACATACTAAAAGCCTCGATTCATCGATAGCGACTGGCATGGACACTCTCCCGCGTCGCCCTCAACAAAAAAATGTGGATTCGGGTACAAGGAAAAAGTGTCAAGAACCATCTCACTGCACATGATTCCGTGCAGTTATATCGACACCACAAAAGCTTAACTCTGCTACGTATTTGGAGCAATTGGTTTCTTCTCTTCTAATCTGTCACTTGAAGTGTAATTGCCTGCCAGCTCTAATTTACCTTGATCGCCCATTTTGCATGCTACTTAATAATGTGGTTGGCATCGACACTAAAGAAAAGGTGATGATTATATAAGCTCCATTGGGTGGAGAGCTTGTGCTAACGGCCTGTAACTTGATATTCATACAATATCTTCGAGGTTTATACCGTGGTCTCACGTGGTACTCAGATTGACATTAAAACCCCAATGGGGTCACCACGCTCACGCTCAACGCAATACGAATATGGTCTAAGTAGTTTGAGCGAACGTTATCTGATAGCAGCACCCCTAATGAAATGATTTCGCAGCTACCGTATTGTTCTGTTTCGTGAAGAACGAGGCCAAAGAGGCGGTCCAACTCACCACTGATGGACAGGAACTCCGACTCGGAGTTCTTTCATCGGAGTCCGAGGGAGAAACTCTCCTACTTCGTGCTAGTGCGCAGCGAGCCCGCAGATGATGAAGCTTCAGTGAGACCGGCTGTCGACTGATAGCTTCACAACACTCATTGAGCGTGGTGAGCAACAAAATGGACTAGTTCGTGAGCTGGAGACTTAAATCCAACTTTGCTTGGGTCCTGGAACGAGATAATTCAATTAAACGCTGTTTGAACAACGAGAAATCCACTTGTTGAAATACTGATGGGACGTATCGAGTGGCTATCTGGAGAATCGAGATACCACTAACCAATTTCAGTAACATGGGCCGCTGTTGAATTCGTTCGGGAACCGGGTCACCTCAGCAACGAGCAAACAAGTCGTGGTACGACGCACCGGGCGCGCGAACAACAACGACCAAATGGCGACAAGAAAAACAAAATTGACTCTCGAAGTAGACAACTTTGGCCAACAGAGTTCGGTGAAGAGAGGATAGCTGGGTACACCCTCGAGTTAATGTGCATTTGTACCCGGAGCTCTCTTCACTGTTATCTCGCGTGCACTTTCCCGCTTCGCATCAAGCTTCCATTTCAGCGTTATCTTCGGTCCGAAGACTTCGGACACGTAGACTTGCATTCACGATAAAAATTGTAGCTCTTCGTCCGGGGCAGACAGTACTGGAGAGCGGCACGCCATAAATCATGATCCACTCTAGTGGGATTTCGACACCGTCGAAGTTCGACGGTGTCGACTCGAACCGACAGACGTTAGAGTGGGTGTTTGGACATCAGTCTCGAGACATGAGCAGCTCCTTTAAGTGTCCGAATCGCATCAACGGAGTTTTTTCCGCAGTGTTGCTCCTTCCATTGCGTCAGATGCGTTCCCCCAAGAGCTGGTACATACTAACAGCTTTTATAATCGCTCATTATGACCAACAAAGACCCAAAACGTGTCGAGCATCTGACAGGATTAGTCAACGAGCAGAAAACGCTAAAAAAAAAAGTACTGCTCCAGCGTGGCTAGTGTCTCCGTCGTAATAAGCAGATAATACGCGCGATCCCGTCACCACTTTAATAAAGGCCCCACACCAACTAGAAGACGGGTTCTACAACGCTAGCCCGTAATTTCCTACTTAAATATAGCCAATAATTACCTTTGGCACCGATGCTTCAGCTGATAAGTCCGTCCTCAGCTCTTGACCGTTTTGGCAAAACAATGCATGACCTTGAGCGCGTAGGTCACTGCAACGCCATTTGTTCCAAGAACGCCTGGCGTGCTAGACCCCAAAAAAAATAAGCTGCATCTCGCGCAGCTTATAATCTTCTGCCCACTAACTTACCACAGGTATTACCTCGACGCGGGCTAATTCCAAGGTCTGCGTTGTTTCAACGGCGTTGGATCATTTCGGGGTGAAACGTAAGGTAACAAAGTAACTTAGGTTTGGTAGGCTTCTGCGTCCATCAGACCGAGTCGGTGCAACAAAACCCGCGTCACAACCCCCCTCCCCGCTTCGAAGTAGTTGGTGACAGTGTGTCCGATATTGAATCACGTGAACCACGAGCGATAAATCTTAAGGAGACCTCGCGAGCTACGTACGTCATCTTACTCATAAGCGTTCGCGACAATTTGGCCTCAGTTGTTCACCTCCTGTGTGTGTCTCCTGTGTAAGCTGGTGAGCTGCACGTGTCTCAAACGACCGAGGAGTTCCAACAGATTTCGATTCATGGAGTCCAAAACTTTAATCTCGCCATCGAGTTCATACCAATCTCGAACAAGCGTCTGTCTGGCGTACGAAGCACAGCGAGCTGGTTGACTACAACTCTCGTTTGCGAGTGGATTAAAGTCAGATTTCCCTTCACGAGTGTTCGTTGCACCGTAACGCCTCACCGATAAAACGTTCCCGCTGCCGAAGAATCCTGATGGTGGAAAATCGCTGCCTTCCGACGAGATTGGAGCCAATTTGAGCATCGAACCTGTTGTTATGGTTAATATTGCTGACATGTTCAAGTGCTTTGCCTTTTGCCAGCTACTTGTAGCGC